TTATATGTTATTGCGCGTTTATACAAACGCAGAAACGAATATTGTCGAAAACTGTTTATACGTGTGTTTGAAAGTGAGCGAACTTATTAGCATTTTTAATTCAACAATGGAAGAAGCTAGAAAGCTGAAATTTAAGGAGCATATTCCCATAACATGTGCCACCATTGTTTCTTTTGGGTCTTCTCATCTGCGTAATTTTGTACAGCTTTTCAGGGTCCGGGGTGTAAGCATTTTAGTCAAGGTAGTGTGCGCTATGAAGAAGAGCAGGGCTAGTCAGTAGCAACAGTGGGATGCAACTGATGGGTAAAACAAATAGCTGAACTGATATCGAGTTCAAGAGAACAAGGAAGAATGCTGATGCGTGAAAAATTCATAACATCAAGTTAGAATTATGTGGATAAGAGAGTCTCATAAGTGTGTTAAAAGAAAAAGGGAGACTGTCAGTTATATCGGTGGCGAGTAGAATTGGAAGATAGCACAACAGCTGTTTAAATTGTCGAAACGAAATATGAATATTTGAAGCGAAATTTTAGGTGTGATGAGGTGGACCATCTATCAGCGCATGTATTAATCGGTACACGAATGTCTCGAATTGAGGATTTTTGTGGTTCCGAAACTCCACCTCGACTGATGTCTACCAAGAATTTGCTCACACTAGATTATGTTGTTCGATCGACCAGAGCAATGCGACGTATGGTTGCCAATATGGAGAATTTCGGTTTTGTGATACAGTATGACTTCCGGTCGGATTTGGGTTTGTCAAAAATGCACGCTGAAACACGAAGTGATCAGGGTTGGTTACTACTTAAAGGATAGACCTCGTCTGGCTGAAATAATACCTTCGCTTAATCCTGAGTTCTATTTGTGATAAATAGCGTCGGGATTGCGATGCATCATGACAACTCAGTGAAAATTTGCTTGCAGCTTGCCACTATGAATTCAATTCATCGAGTCGATCCTCAGGGGACATTTTCTCGCCCAATCATCCAGGATATTATCCTCGTAACATCGACTGTCATTATATATTTCATGGAACTGATAAGCAGATTGTTGCAATTCACTTTGAATATTTTGATGTTGAAGGCTTTGCCACGTAGGTTTTTTTTTCCATATTTTACTTCACCAGTAAAATTCATTTTAAAATCAGCGCCTATGTAAGCCTGAATTTCGCTGAAATAAGACACTTGGGCTTTTTGGCGGAAAACGATTCCGAGAACTAGTCAGTATAGAAAGCTGAAACTTTGTAGCATTGTACTCTTCATGCAGTCTAAAGATTTCAAATTCATCTACTACGTGTGCTTGCGTCAAGTACGTAGATACGCCAGGGCTCGTCTTTGGTGTGATGCGAGAAATAGTCGGAAATCCATGTGTAATTTTGCAACAATTTAGTGTCTATGTAAGGAATCACACATCAAAACTGAGTTTAAGATTGAACCTGCGCCACGCTTTAGGACAAGTCCAAAATGTTTGTAGCGAATTTACGATTTTGGGGACTAGATAAAAAAGAAAGATGAAATTTTATAAACTTGTTTCGGTCTCTAAGCGAATTAAATTTATTTAATTCAACTTCGAACACGTTTAGAGTTCGCACTAACCGCAAATAAAATTCGATTTTGAACAATTTTTGCACCCATTTACTTCGTAACAAGTCTAAACAGGGAAGCCGAAATTTTGTGGGGATGTTTACCGTCTATGTGTAAGTCTCTTAACACAAATTTAGCTCCTAGTTTAGCAATTGACTTCCGCGCAGGCGCATCAGATGCTCAAATTGCAACACCTTTCCCGTCGCTCTCTGCTGGTAATCAGAAAGTCAAAAAAAAAAAAAAAAAAATGGCCAACGCACGGGCTGCCCGTGCGAAGATGCGTTTTTTGCAGAGTTCCC